TTAGTAGTGAAGGGTACTCCGACTTCGGCACAACCGAAGTTAACATTTTTTCTTGGCTAACTATGCTTTAAATGCTAATTATTAAAGAATACATAACTAATGAGAGTTTTCTATTTGCATTCTCTATTATTATACTCGTAAATCAACTAGCTCTTTCCTAATGATATATATAAAATACTTTTATAAGATACTGTCTGCCGAAGAAAGCAGCGGACCGAATACATACGCAAAATTTTAAAGTTGACGCTAGGCATATAAAATATACATATGCATATAAATGTAATATACATATACCCAACGCATGTGGGGTATGATAATATCAGTTCGATGCTACCCCTACTCCTATATACTACATACATATGTCAAATGATTTTCGCTTTTCTAATAAACCTTTTGCCGAATACGTCAGTGGATATGTTATAAGTATCTGTTTGAATATAACAACTCTGTTATAACCGCTAGAGGTGTCAAACTATCGATATTACCGATAGTTTTGTTTTTACTATCAATGAGTATTGATAGTTCTTTTCAAACAGATAGTCACACTATCGATAGTTTGACATCTCGCTCATTACTACTCTCCATTGTGAAATAACGACATCGAGTCAGTTTGCTATTTTTCGTGTTTATTAAAAATAAATTTGACTACAATATTAGTATTAGTTGCAATAAAATACTAAGCTGTAGATTTAAGTGACGGTTCCTTCCAAAATGGAAATCGGGGACAGCAATTCATTAGGTGGGTACATTTCTTGAAAATAATGTCTCATACTAAGCGCCTTTTCATACGCAGATGCGCCATCGAACAAAAATCAAAAAATTTCGGTTGTTTGGAAGCATTTCCAACTAAATGCTGACAAAAAATATGCAAAATGCTTTAGTGCCAAAAATGATATAAAACTAGTGGAAATACTTCCAACTTAATGTACCACCTTAAGCGTGCTCATCCTCTGCACTCCATGCGGGCGAAGCCCGGCAGCACATTGAACATTTTTTTTTTTAAAGATGACATCTACAGCAATAATTCCACGCGGAAAGCTGACATTGAATTTAAATTGACAATGGTAAAACTAAATTACAGGCCAATCTTAATGAAATTGAAAGCTGTGGTATAACCACTGATTGTTGGTCATCGAAGGCAAATGAAAGCTATTTGACCGTTACGTGTCATTTCATTGATGTCGATTTCAAAATACGATCGGCAGTTTTAACGACATCAGAGCTCGCTAATGAACTCAACCGTTCAGCTGCAAACATTTCAGTATCGTTGCGTGGGTGCCTACAAAAATGGAATATATTCAAAAAAGTCAACTGCGTGGTTACAGGCAACGCTGCATCAATGATTAAAGCCTGTGAACTGCTTCAGGAGAGGCATCTGCCGTACTTTGCTCATTCCATCAATCTTTGTAGTACCTTTTATCTACTGAAAAAGTAAAAGCATTATTGTCGAATTGTAGCATATTTCAAAAGCAGCACTATGGCATATGCAAAATTAAAGAAAGAGCAGGGTAGTGAAAAACAGTATAGCCTGATTCAAGAGGTTTCAACAAAATGGAATAGCGCGTTTGCCATGGTTCAGCGAATTTTACTTATTAAGGATGCCACCTTTGCAGTGCTTTTAAGAACACCAAAAGCGCCACTAGTTCTAACAGCAGAGGAAATAGAGCAACTTCAAGACATATGTTTATTGTTGGAACCATTCAATATAAGCATTTTATCGGGTAATGAATACGGATATGTGTCGATTTCGCATATAATTCCCATTGCATGGGAATTGCACTCAAATTTAATGAAAACTCAAAATTGAAAACTTTTGTTGGATCGGAAGCACAGTTGTACTTATGCGACAAAATTAAACAGAGGATATTTCCATATGAATCCAGAAATGCTACTAGATTAGCCACCTTGCTAGATCTGAGATTCAAAAAAGAAGGGTTTCAGTTAGGTCAAAATGCGGCCCAAGCGTCTATGTTGCCTTAAAACGAATTGGTTGAAATCAACAGAATTGCAGCATCGTCATCGAATGACAACAGGGAGGAACCGTCGGCATCAAAAAGCGTTAAAATTCCACAGATTTGTGAGTTTTTGACAGAGAAGCTATCCAGCAAAGTCAAAGGAGCGGATGCTATCATCAAAATACGCGAATATACTGAAAAACCCAATGAGCCGCTAGATGTAAACCCATTGGAATACTGGAAGGTAGAATAACATTTTGTGTAACGCTTATATAAACAAACATTTATCTAAATTTCAGAATAGATCGCCTGAAATGAAGTCAATGCAAATCATGGCATACAAATATTTTTGCATTCCGGCAACTTCATCGGAGTCTGAGGGTATGTTCAGCAAAGCTGGAGAATAGATATGTTGTTATTTATCACCAAAAATCATATTGATCTCTTTAAAACCACTGAGTGGCTCCGATTTAACATAAACTGAAGCTTTCAACTTATGTTGTAAATGAATTTATTAATGTTTTTTTAATATGAAAATAAATATGAGTTATTTTGTTCTTGGAAAGACAGGTTTTTTGTAATGCAATTAATTTTTTTTCAAGATATTTTTTTTTATAAACCTTTGAAGTACGATGGTACCATCGAATCGATAGTACCGATAGTTTTTTTACTATCGATGAGTATTGATAGTTTTTTTTTAACTTCTGAAGAAATCGATGGTGCGACTATCGATAGTTTGACACATCTAATAACCGCGTAAGCGTTGTCTACGATAGTTAAAATGAGGAAGAATATGAGTTTCATTCATAATGATTTTTTTCATTGAGTTATAAAAATCACAAGAAATAAAAAAGTTTTCCAAAAAATAATCAAACTTCAACCGTTAATATCTTTTAAACGGTTGGGTTTACGAAAAAATCGTACAGACCTTTTTGTAGAGCATTCAATTTCCTACAAAACCTGAGGAACAAGATATATTTTCAAGTAGTTGGAAGCGGGATATAAATTTTTCTATCAGATAATAAGAAAAAATAGAAAATTGTAAGTAGGAGGACCTTCCCGTTACAATTAAGAACTCATTCTTGGAGAGGCTTCCTTAGAAGTGTCTAGGAACCTACTTTTCAGAGTACCAAACGAAAAAAAAA